CTTATATCTGTATTGGAGATAGTCAGAACTCACTTCTTGTTTCATCTTTCTATTCGATCCCACCTTTTTAGTTTTTGTCTTTTTCTTTTAGTTCTATCTTCTCTCTTCTCTCTTTTCTGATTTGTATTTTAATTGTACTTTTTATATCCTTTAATAAAAGTTTTGATTACATGATATAAAGCTGTGGGATCTCAAGCTTCCCAATTTATCATCACATCCCCAACAGTGGAAGAACAGCCCCTGAACATCTCGGGCAACAGTTGTTTTGAACAAAAATGATGAAAAAAATACTAACATCACTCCTCTCTGATCTCCTCTCTGCTAGTCTGCTGCCAGTATGTCAAGGAATATCACACGGATTTTAACAGATAGAATTGTCCTACTTGTATTATGAAGGAACATCTTGACTATTGTATTAGAGTAACCATGGGCTAGGTGTGTTAATCAGAGAGAAAAAGTCACTTTGCACTGTTGGTGGTTAGTGGTTAGTATTTTGTCAGAGGTTTCCATGTTTTATTAATGTTTTCTATGACAGAGAATGATATAGAAGGCAATTGTGCTGCTTGGTATGGTTACCCTGTTTTTCAAAAGAACTCTTTCATTTTCAGTAGGACTTAAACCTTTGCTATTTTGTCTTTTAAAGACCAGATGCTTTGACACCCAAATTCTAACTCTGTGGCTTAAAAAAATGTTACATAAGTATTAGCTGTAGCTTTTTATGTTCTGTACATTTCTTACAATGCATAATTTTAGAAAATGTTAAGGCTTTTTGTGTCTTCTGTGTCCTTGGGAAAAATATCTTGGAGTTTAGTCCAAATTAAGTTCTTTCTTGATGGCTTGGGATATCTGATTTTGAATCACACAAGACTTGTCACTGTTTTATGAGATGGGCAGCCATATAAATTTGGTAAATAAATAAACAAATAAATATTTATTATCAGCTTGAATTGTTGCAACTTTTAAAAATAGAAAAGAAAAAAAGACTGAGGCTGATTTATAAAAATTAAAATTGGGGCAATCCCAGGAGTATGACATATGCAGTTTTTTGTTTTTGTGTGACTGTTATCAGCACAGTATAGACATTCAATATTGTGTTTTAAAATACTGTCATTCAGATGGGAAAATTGAATTAGCTAAATACAGAATTCCATAGCTGGGCCAGTTTACACCTTGATTTTGTCATTTATTTCAGTCATAAGAACAGGATATAAAAACGAGTCCACCAGCATGCTTTTTGTGGTCCCAAGAGAAGATTGGGCCAATGGTTGGGTCCTGTTTTATTTGGAGGCTTTCTGGGAGTTTAAGAAGCAAAATAAGGGCCTTAAACTTTGCATAATGGGCAAAATAAATGCTTAAGTATCCATCACATACCTTGGAACTCCTAAAATCCCTCCTAAAAGCAGGTCCAGCTTTTCGAATGCAGCCCCTCAATATGCAATGCAAAGCCTGGTGTAACTTTCAAGCCAAAAGATGCATATACATTTGCTTTACAGAAACCCATATGAGGAAGCCCTTAAACACGAGGAAATCCATGAAGACACTAGGTTTTGTACAACAGATTTCTGAATCAGTACCAGATACTCTATTTTTAACAGCGGTAACATAATAATGGTACAAACAAAGCATTCAAACATTAAAATGTCAACATTAAACAAAAACTGACATGCCATACAGCTATACATAACAACACATGAAGTTTATAAGCAGCTGCATTTGAAAAAAAAAGGAAAAGAAAAATATAAAATTCATTATAATACATCTAGAGACACCAGGGTGGAAAATCCAGCAAAACTGATAAAACTTCCAAGTGTTTACTTTCCTTTAAAATGGGAAAGGCAATTTCTAAAGCATCAAGAATTGCAGCTCAGCCTCCTGACCTTTGGAGTGCTGCTAGAAGCATTCTGGTGATGGGATATTGCTGGAAGTAGTGTGACCATAAATGTTGGCCTTTTTGGAAGACTTTTAAAGGTGGGAATTAGAGAAGGAGACCTCTAGGGGGCAAACTCCTACCATTCCCATCCTTACATTTCCCCTATTCAGGTAGTCCTCATTTAGCAACTGCAGTTGGGACTGACAACTTAGTCATTAAGTGAAGCCGTTGCTAAGTGAAATTGCAACTGTGTTTATGATCTTACTTCAGCTTTCCTTTGCTTTACAGACTTGCAAAGGTCATAAATGCAAGGATTGATTGCAAAGTTACTTTTTCATCACTGTTGTAACTGGGAATGGTCACTGAAGCAGTTGCTAAATGAGGACTACCTGTACCATAAAAAACTGCCTGATTTTAGCTTTCAGAGGGATTAAAGATGGAATAGGAGCATGAGGTTTCCAAGAGGCAAAATGGTACCATTCCCACCCAAACCTGAAAAATACCCCAAAATTGCACCATCAAAATGCTGCCATTTTGATGATGTGATCTTCAGATCTGGAGGGCTGTACAGAGACCGGGGGTTGTCCACTCCTGCTTTAAAGTATCACTGTGGCATCTGTTATGCTTAGGGAAATTTAAATACAAACCCAAGTATCTTAAAGGAAAGGGTTTTTTTTTTCAATATACCGTATTTTTCCAACTATAAGACGATACTTTTTTCTAAAATCCTTACGCTAAAAATTGAAGGGCGTCTTATTCAAGGAAGTCAGCCGAGGAGAGAATCACGCAGTAGCAAAACTGCCCATACTTTGTCTCTGCAAATGGGCTTCCTCCTATTTCTAGCCTCCAATCATGAGTGAAATAGGTTGAGTCTGCAAAAAAAATTTCTCCCATCAACGGCCCCTTATAATCCTAGTTCACAGGTTATGTAGAAAACAAAAAAAAGGAAGGGGTTTTTTGGGAGA